AACCTCTTGTACTTACAGTTACCATATGACTTATGTTGCATTTTCAAAAGGAAATGAGCAATTGGCATTGTTTACACATGCATAATGTGATTCCATGCTGTTATGATCAAGCTTTGTGTATATGATAATCCAAAGGAAATGTTGAATCTCATTGAGTAATGTTTAAGAGCTTTATAGGTAACAGTGAAACACTTTGTGGCAGAATTAGGAAAGCTGAATCAGAAATGAGTTGTCATTCTTGCCTTGTTGAGAGACGGACTCGGGCAAAGATGTCCTTACTCCTTGTACATTACAGAATATATTTTATGGGTTGGGAAGGTGCAGTTTTGTCTGATTTTGGTGCAGATTTCCACAGTCGTTTTTTCTCTTCACAAGTGCAACCACCAAACCTGGAATGAGATATAGAGTGAGAGACTGATCTGCGTCTGTCAACAAGAGAGAAAACAAACCATTCCTGGTTCAGCTTTCATGCCTCTCTCCCTCCACTTCTGGTTGGTAGTCGCTGCTGTTATGCTTTACATTGATGTTAGCATTGAAGAAGGGCTGCACAGAAGTTCTTTAAACCCATCACAATATTTGTGATCACTCTGGATAGAACAGGCACTCTGAGAAGGGTTCTTAGATGGCATTAATGACTGGATGGTATTAAATTCTAATGACTAAGAAGATAGAAAAGCTTGTTAATTATTTTCATATCTACTGTACAGTCTTATGCTAAACTTGACTGCATCTCAGAGTGTGCTAAATGGAAGTTAAAATGGTATATATATATTTAAATATATATCCTCCCAAGATCTGGTACTGTGCAAGGGAGATTCCTTGCTTGACAAATTTCCGTGTCTGATACAAAAGTGTCCAGGAGACAATGCAAGCCTGGATGAGGAAGAGCCATAACAGTGCAGGCAAATGTATGTGTAGTCAAAGATGTGGCTTCCTAAGGATCTTATAGTAGCAGACAAGTTATTCTTGTTTACAAATGTATAAAGCTTTCATATTGGCAGAGTAGCAGTATTTTGATATTTACCCCACAGTATGGCTGGGTATGAGTGTTTAATATAAGATGTAAGATGTGCCAAATATACACACAGAAGAGAGACTGACTTGTGTTTGGCTCTGGGCTAAGTCCTTTTCATTTATGAATGGCACAAGAATAATAACACCCTTGCTGACAGAACAGACAAGGTGCACATCTTTTGTAATGTCATATAGGTTGAACTTTCAGTAAACCTTAACGCAAAATAGCTCAGCGGCATAGTTCATTTTTGTATCTTCCTTGAGAAACTGTTCTTTCAAGATTCTCATCAACACGAGTATTTAGCAAACTTGATTTATGACATGTTAGTTATTTTGCCCTTCATGGTATTTAGCACATGTTGCATAAAAATCCCGGAAGGCAAAGTAAGTGACCAG